GGGTGTTACAGAGGTGAAGGAAGAAGAAAGAATACAAAGTGTGTGATTTTTACGAGTGTAGCGCCCGGACCGAGAAAAAAAAAAAAAAAGAGAAAAGCCACATCGGCAGCCACGTCAGCAGGCCCGGTCAGCAGTCCCGGCCAACTGGGGCCTGCCACGTGGCAAGACCACGTCGCTCCGAAACGGGCCACGTTGGCGATCCGCGTGGGCGCGATCGGACGGTCCAGATCAATCGCGCGATCGGACGGCCCAGATACAATCGCACGGACGACCCAGATTCAATCAAAAACGAACGGCCCAGATTAAAACAAAATGGACGGCTGAGATCAAAAGGCTAGGGGTTATAAATAGAACCCCCACACCAGACCACAAACCCTAGCCGCCTGCCGCTCTCCGGAGAAGACGAACCAGAGGCCGACCGCCGCCACCCGCCGCCGCACCGGGGAAATTTCCGACCGCCGATCGAGGTAAATTTCATACCCCCGACTCGTTTTTCCACGTTGATTCCTCCCGTGGTAAAATCAAAGCCAAAATCCCGGCCAAACGGCCGAAATACGCGGCCGAAGACCAGCGGCGCCGCCGCGCCCCCTCTCGGTTTTTGCCTCCGACGAGGCCCTTCCCGGCCTCTGTTTGATGCAATTTTTATATCACCGTGATCACCATTCTTTTCTCTACAGGTTGACCGGAGCCGAATCACCAAACCACGAACCTTGCCGGAGAGCCGCCGCACCCGAGAGCGCCGCCGCCGGTAAGCTCTGCTTCTCCGTGATTTTTTGGCCCCCCGAGGGCCCTAGGGTTGTTTTCTCGCAGGGACCGATGCGAGTGTGGCCGAATTTGGCCGGAAACGGCCGAAAACAGCCAACCCGAGGCGAATCGCCGCCGCAAGCGGCAGCGCCGTCGCTGGAGCACGGCGGAGCCGCCGTGCCGGAGTTGCGATATTGGCCAAAAAGGGGCCCTGAGCCTAATTTGAGATTTTTTGGAACACGTGCAGGTACCGTTAGTGTGTTTCAGTTCCCCGGGAAAAATTCAGGGAAAATTAGGGACGGCCTGTAGGCGCACTGTGAATCATATTCGGATCCCGAAAATAAGTAAGGACCCCTCACCCTATTTCCTATCACGGTATTAAAGTTCAAAATGATAAAACGGTATTTCTTGAATTAACGCATGTGTGAAATTGCTTAAGGTTGCTAATGGAGCCCGAGTCTAGTGTGATTGATGATTTACTGTTATTTGGCCTGTTTTACAGCTTTAAATGCATTATGAGGTTTGATGTGTTCATTTTATAGTTTCGAGTGCATATATTACTGTTTTATTAATTATGGGTTGAATGACTGAAGAACTGATACTGTATGTTGTCTGTTTGGCATGAATTACGATTTGCTTGTTTAAATGTGAATTGATGATGCTTATTGAGGAAAAAGAAAATGAAAGATTGTGTAGACTGATAATTGTATGATGGGGTCAGCCTGACTAGATATCCTGGGAGATGGTGGACGGACCGGGTCCGTAGGGAACCCTACCGGGATTGTGGTCTCACATGCCGGACGGGGTATGGAGATCTTATGGTTTTGGTGCCTATACCGGACGGGGTATGGGGACGGCCCGTTTCACCCTCATACCGGACGGGGTATTGAGGTTTATGGTTTTGGCGCCCATACCGGACGGGGTATGGGGACGGCCCTGGAAACTGATTATGAATGTTAAAGGTTAACGGGTAGCGGGACCCCTAG